TTTTTTTTTTTTTTTTTTTTTTCTTTTTTTTTTTTTCCGTTGAGCCTCATGCTGTCATGTCGACTATTGCTATTCTTAATATTACCACTGCTAGTGCTACTGCTGACGGGTGCGGGATAGGGTCGAGGGTGTTATGAAGCGTTTGCCATTTGGGCTTAGGGGATCGGGCAGCTATGGAGCACTAGCTGCCAAAATCTGGGTCCGGCAGTCACGCGGTTGTACCCCAAAGAATTCGGTGCCGCAACAGAAGAGCTCAACAAACACTCTAAATCCCACAGCCTACGTAGTCCAAAGGGTTGAAACTTGATAAGTAGGGTTTTATGATAAATGTTTGACTCACAACGCCCCATTCGGCAAAAGCTGAAGCAACTACATTACAAACTGAGGATTTGTGGGGTGAAGGTCATGGAGCTAGTCTCTTCTTTGTAAGTTTGGCCTGGCTAATGGTAGGTTGCTCACTATGACCAGACCTGCCTACATGGGGTTGGGGACAGGTCATAGGGGATATTCGGGGGTAGATCGGGACGTATACAGGCGTATGTAGGGATTTTAGGGGCCAGGGATATCGCGGATATTGTTTCTTAGATGAATGGAGAAGCAATGAAAAAATCAAGGTCATATAAATGTTCCGAGTTTCTCAAGTTTCCCACAAAATAGAATCCTTGGTGGGTGGTCTTGAACTGAAATCCCTCTGCAATGCCCTCATATATCGGCCTCGTGAGCCCGTTTTGGTTGCAGGTAACATGAGCGTTTCTGAGCTAGGTGGGATCTTTCCAACAGCTTGGGATCTGACCCAGGCTACAAGATAGAACAGTTTTGTGCACTGCCGCCTTTCAGGTCTGATGGTTTTCTAGGTAGTCCTTTGCAATTTTGTATATAGGCCTCGTATATTCTTTAATAATGGGTGCCCCTAGATCGCTTCAGACTCCCTATCCCTGTTGTTTCAAGGTTGCCTCCTTTCAAGATACCTGCAAGGCTAACAGCCCTGAGCTCCGCAGGTGTGGTTCGTGAAGGCATCAGACCTTCGACTATTGCCCAGCCGCAACCTGAGTCAAGAATCTGGGAGTGCTGACCTGGCAGTGTTTGGGGTTAAGTGTTTAAGGTTTGGAGGTAGAAACTCTCAATGCCCCCTGCGATATATGAAGAGCACAAAGGCGGGTCCCTATTTGTATGTCTGGGTCAACAGGTCTTGCTTTATCAAGGAACCCAAGGGCGCCTACTGGAAGTGTAGCTGCTGTTTGTACCAACGGTGGGCTGCTCGTGGGACACTTTAAGCCCTCCCAAAGAAATTTCACCAGAACATCTGAATGGCTGGGTTTGAACTGCAGGTCCGCCCTCGTATCTTCATCTAACCTTTCCAGGGTTGCTGTTAAGGAACTTAACTTCAGCTCCCAGTATTATGGGTATACATGGTAACTAATATTCTTTCCCCAATATAACAACTTGGAGCAAGTTCCTTAACAGCAACCCAACTTACAGCAACCCTGTTTATTCCACTTAGCAATCCGCATCATCCCTTCGTCCGCAGGCCTTCTCTGTAGTCCTGACACACAACCTGCAAAAACGCTGGGTGACATCCTGTATACACACCAAGCAGTAGGAGTTTCGCAAAAGTATCCGCACAGAATCCCCCATAATACGGGGCTACCAAAGTCACTCTGTGCGCATGCAACACCCTAGTGTTTTATCCGGGTGCCATATTTGAGAAACCCGACATGAGGGGTTGTCAAAACTATACCCCTTTGCAAGACGGCCTGTAATGTATAGGGCACCCAAAAGAGAACCGTAATTTTGATAGCCTTCCATATATCCCTTTCAGAATCCCAACGGAAGCCACACAAATACTCGCCAGAGTGATGGCTGCAATGAGCTGGCTTTCCGAGCTCCTGACAGATGCCTGGCTATCGTCTCTTTGGCTGTCCAGTCTGGTATGGAGCTGAGGAGCAGTAGGGTTTAGGTAGGTTAGGGTGTGGGGCTTGGAATTTGGGAGGACGTGGGGTTTGGAAGGGATTTGGGTCTGAGGCTTAGGAGGCAAGGTGTAGAGAGTCTAGATTTCTCTGTCATTGCCATTGATAGTATACTTCTTCCCCACAGACCACTGAAGAGCCCAGGTCGACAGTCGGAAAGCAGCTCGACATTGAGCATTTCGATGTTTTAGAGGCTGAGGGCAACTCCTCGAGTAAACTGGTGAGGGTCCAATGCAAGCAAGGCACACTGATGCTGAAGATCACTCGACCTTGGACGCTTCTTAGGGAGTATTTCTAGTTCCACATCAGTCTACTCTGCTTAGAAATCAGGAGCTTGCCATCATGTTTTCTCGAATATTTGAGTTTCAAAAGGACAGACCCCCGGAGATGCTTTGGCGGCCTCGGTCGAAAGGGAAGCTTGGCGGCAACATCTTCTCCAGTTCCCAAAATCTACGGTCAGGATACATACCATGTAAAAAGGGTCCATTTTGAAGGTAGCCCATGGCCCCAGAAAGAACACGTGAACCTGAATTTGAGGTTGTCTTTGTAGAAGATGATGATGCTGGTAGAGGCCACAACCAAATCACAAAGCCTGGCACATCAAGTTTCCTGTTTCGGCACTTGCTCAAGTCAGGAGGCTCTCTTCTACCACACTGCCTGGTGCTCGCTGCGCAAGATCGGCGTTGGCTTGCTAGATCTGCATGCGGTTGAGATTCGCCCCGACATGTCCGTCATTGTGCTGGAGTTTGTGAAGGACTTGTCTGGGAGGGGCAGGTACAGATAGCCTCTTTCAAAAGCCTGCTGTAGCGGAATATCATCTTTATGCTTCCTTTTGCAAGCATCACACCAAGGGACGAACAGAGCCCAATGGAAGCCTGGCACGCGGCATGCGCTGATACAATCAATGCATGAAGAACTGAATATCTCCAGTCTGTGCAGAGAGGGCATATAGCCCCTCTCACTCTTGATCCTTGACATAAGGCGCGAGATAAGCGTGAAATAGTTCAGGCATATGATGCATATGTGGACCTTCTACATTACAAAATACTGGAATGATCTCTAACCAGAAAGGTTCAAAGTTCATTGAGATCCTGGGAATCTCACGCCAAAATTGACAAAGCGGCCTTTTCGGCGAGGATGGCTGGCGCACTGGACCGAATGCTGGATTGTCGAGATGTCATGCGAATCCACTTAGCACTGTTTTCATCTTACATTTTGTACAGACTTTTGCAGGGTTGTTAAGAAATCACAACTGGCTTTCATCCATAGCCCAAGAAGCGATCAGAGCCTTTTTGTTGAACTTTTTTCGAGGGTTCCCAGCTGATGTGCGAGCTTGATTAGCGTATGCAACCCTGTCAGCAAAACTGGGTGTTGAACAACTCGGGGGATGGAAGGGGTGCCTCTTTTTCCACCTACCGATAGATTCGGCATGATATCTTCACAACTCAAACTTTCCTCAAGCCCCTAACTTGAGAAAACCATGTGTATACATATATATATATATATACATATGTGTATATATACACACATTATAGGAGACCCGTCATCTATTGTGTTGCAGGATATTTCTTACGGAATCCTTACCTGACTTGTGGAGTCCTTTGGATCTAGGTCAGGCTGAAGCATTGGTTGGCCTGCTCGCTCGAATTCACGCCTGGGGCTTGAAGGGCAAGGACTCATGGCTTATTATATAACCCTTATAGTAGCTTCCATTTTATTTTCTATTATTCCATATAAGCCCAGTAGAAAATACCCTTATAAAACCCCTATAGTAATGATTTAAGGCTTGGGGTCCGGGATTCGGGGCTGGTGGTTTAGGTTCGTCCAGGTTCTGAGGGTTGAAGGGTTACATGCACAGCGCATCTTGCATGCTGCATACGGAACGCACCGGCTGTAAGCAGGATATGCTATTTCAGGTGGAACTCCCAGTCATAGGCTTGCAAAGGTCGTAAACGTTTCTTAGGAGATTCAAGGGTCGTCTGGTTTAGGTGTAGGGGGCCACACTCCCGGTCCCTTTGTGCAGTTGCACCCGCTGTGCCCGTACCCCCAGATTGCGAACCGCTCGCTCATGACTTGGAATAACACCCTACATAAGTTCAGCTTCATTGCTATTGTCCAGTTTCTTTCCATTTTCATTTGACTCGCCATTATAGGGGTACCATCCCTAAACCCGTATCAAACCTCTGCATACCGTGAAAGGAGAATCCTATATAATCCCAACATACTAACTATTACAAGTTAGGGGTGTCCATGTTCTTTTCCATTATCCCTATATGGTAGTTTCTCAAAATAGGCGAACCCAATATAGACCCCAAATACTATAATCCAGAAAGTTGGGGACCTCCAAAAAAGCACCCGCAATTTTGGGAAACCCCTATATAGCTCCCTGTACTTCCCCCTGTGAAAGGACAGGTTGGAGGACTGTCGGGATGGGCACCTGTTTCGACATGGCTTGCCAGACTTGTTTCGAAAAAGTGTCATGGTCTGTGTTTCGGATGGTTAAGGTTTCTCTCAACAATGTGTCTCCTGTCTTAAAATTCTGGAGAATGTGCAGCTGTAGCTTCAAGGGGCTTGGGCTTCCTTTTGCGGCATGTCCGAAGAGCTCAAAGTAAAGGATCCTTGGAGCAAGCCAGTAAGACCAGAACCTTTAGCCCTAAGCTATACTAGTCCTGAACCCTAATTAAGCCCTTGCCAAGCCCCTAAGCCTTGTCCTTACAAACGCCACCAAGGTGTATCCAAAGTCACTGCTGACAAGATCAAGGCCGGATCTCCAGCTGGATCTCCGGCCAGCACCACGGAGGGTGCTAAGAAGGTCGGGATGTCTCCGAATTGGGATCCCAAATAGGTATTACCTGGGGTATTCATATGGATCATTGGGCATGTTTCGCCTCCAAAGCGGCACCATCCCCAATTCAATGGCCTTATAGCCTCTGTATAAGCCACAGCTTCCATTTAGTTTTCCAATTTTTTGTCCATGTGATTATCCGTTGTTGTGTCATATCACTATAGCCTAAACTCTCTGCTGAAAGAGGGACCCAAGCCCTTTTGAGCCCTGAGGTCATGGACATGTTGCATGCGGCAGCCAAGCCGGGCCTCTACGAGTTCGCAGTGAACCTCGTGATGGAGTCCAGCCCCATCACGGTTACCGCGTCCTTTTTTGGGAAATCTTTCCCCGTAGGGAAAAAAACGGGATTGAATATGTAGATAGTATAGGAGATTCCATTATTTGAGGTATGCTTAGAAGCGCATAGTATGCAACCAAGGTCTTGGTTTGAGCCTTGAACCCATGGACCTGGGCCGTCGTCCACATGGACGCCCGGCAAGGCAATGCCTTCTTCGAGGAGAAGAGCAAAGCCGGGGATGAGAAAGGTCCACTGCGAGTGAAACTTAGTGGTGGTTCGTAAGGGAAGGAGGAATGGATCCATATGAGCTACTATAGCCTAAACTCCTTGAAGGGGCTTATATAGGGAGCATTCTAGGGGTTACAAGGGGGGATATTAGGAGTTTAGACTATGGCTCATATAGTAGTCCCAAGCTGATAGTGTGCAAGTGGTAGACCCTGTAACCCCATGTTTGCGGAGTTCTTACTGACCGCCAGTAAGGAAGCTCTTTGACTGGCAGAATGTGTCAAGCGGCGCAGCTGCCATGGACCTAGCTTACACGTTGAGCGGTTCACTGGCTATTTGCGACCGACGGTCCTGGCAGGAGGACCTGCTTGCACAATACATTAAAACATTCTGTGACATCTCCGGCAGCTGCTAGGTTCCCTCATGTTGTATTCACGTTTCTTCTTTGGGTTTCTAGTTCCTCTTGGGATTTTGAATTCGCGCACTGAGGAAGTTGTTTTTTCTCACTCCTGGTCCACTCTGCATCCCAGGTTCATATTCCCTAGAGCAGCTCAAGGATGAGTATCGCAAGGCCTTGACGTGGCCACTTGTTTGGGCTGCGGTCACATTTGCAGATGTTGAAGGCACCGTGGACCACTGCGCCGGGGTTATGCTGGATGCTTCTGCCAGTGCAGAAGATATTGCAAAACGTAACAAAGCCAGAGAGGTTGCCAGGGACTTTGTGACAGAGGGCGCTGCAAGGTATGTACAGGCAGCTTTAGATGAAGGTAGCATCCCTTGCGTCCAAGGTGCTATGTGCCGCTGACACAAAGTCACGGCTGTGGATGCCACGCGCATCATGTGTAAAGGTGGCACATTCTCAAGTTCTCAGCATTCCCTTCTTGAGATCCTCAGTACAGTGTACAGATGGGCATGCTTAGCCACATCTCATCCACGGGGACAAAATGGATGCGCTGTTTGCAAGATGTTGGTTCCTTGACTGGTCGTAGCTGCAATATTGAATTTGCTTCCGCCTCAGCTCAGGAGATTCGCCGCTACCCATGTTTACGTTGGCCTTCAGAATGTTCAGTTTTGAGCAGGTCATAGCCGTCGAGAAAACAGTGTGTCAAAAGCTTTAGCTGGCTCTTAAGAAGGAGATGCTGAGCTGTTGAGAAACCTGCTTTGAAAACCAAAAGGCGAGCTAAACGCAGGATGCCATACCAGCAGATTTACTGCGACCGCACCCAGACCCCTCAAGCATCCGAGCGCATAAACTCAAGTGCTCCGTCGCGCTCAAAGACACCGGCTGCTACCCCAGGTCATTAGCCCATGACCTCTCAGGCGCAAAACCCCAGAAGGCTGCGCTCATGACGTTAAAGCCGAATTGAATAAGCCCGGCAAACCATAACCTTCAACAAGAATCAAAGCCCTAAGCAAGACCAACCAAGAAAACAAAAAGTTCCCGAGCCTGAAACGAAGTCCTGAGCCCCCCCATGCTTCAATGCCCGGCAGCTGAAGTGGGCATGTCCCGACTGGCAGATGGTCCGTACATACTTGGGACACCCAAAGCAACCAAATGTTTGTCAACTCCCTTGTTTCCCAATATAACGCAGGTGTATACCCTATTCATGTCATAGTTTCCATTTCTTTCCATTATCCCTATGTTACCCCAGCCACACCTGTGAGGTCACCTCCTGAAAGCGATTCAGCAACTCTGACTGAACTGGATGCGTCATTCCAGCTTCTTTTGAGGTTCCGTGTCTCAGGGTAACTTAATCTCTTACATAATTTGCAAACATGTCCACATAGCACGCCTTACGACATGTATATCACCCTTGGTTTGGGGGAGATTATGATTGGCCGGGGGGATCTGTAAGTGACTTTGATTCACAAGGTGTTGGGGTTTGGGGCCAGGATTCCGGATTCATATGGGGCAGGATGTTGGATATGCGGGCTTGGGTTTCGGGATTTCTGAGACCTGTTCTTACGCGTCGGAAACTATAGAGGCGGTCGCTTGAAGTCAGGTCGGCCATGAACCATCTAGCAGACTGCTCAAACTGCGGCCTAGATGTTGTTGGAGGGGAGGATGGAGCTTGCATTTTTCCACCTTCTCTTTGCACACATGTACAGAAGGTGAGATGATCAAAAGAATCTCGGTCAAAAGAGATTTAGATGTGTGGCAAGGAGCCTTCCCCACACTAGTTAGAGAGTGACGGGGAAGAGTTTGCAGTCTTAGGCGTCCAGAAAGTCCGTTTGTTGAGAACCTCTGGAGTACTCATCAGAGTTCGAGCCCCTCTACAATCTACGACTCCCAGACTAATTTCCCCATGATGAGGACCCCGAAAAGGACCCATACTTCTCACAAACAGTCAGACCGCCTGGAGCATTTTGCCTGCCATCCCAGCAAACTTTTGACAGGGTTTAGGTTCTGGGCTCAGGTTGAAGCTCTTAGCTCTTAAGCGCTAAGAGTTTACAGCTTGCGCATTTTTAGGGTCAAAAGGGGCCTGGTTGGAGCCAATGCTGGAAGATGCTTGCCAAAGGCTTGCAATGACTCAGTTCATAGGGAGGCCCGGAAGCGTTTTGAGTTCTCCTCCACTCCAAAATGTGGGTTTCCAGAAAATTAGGGGTACCTTTCTGGGGTCCCCATATTAAGGGTTATAGCATTTCAGGGTCTATATGGGGGTCACCTTTTTAGGGAAACTACCACAACTACCAAGTGCTTTCTTGGCAGCAAACCAAATATCTCGCCCATGCATGCCAAGGGATCACCTCTGCGAAGAGTACTCGCAGTTGCTGAAGACTGTCCATGTCACGCGCAAATATGGCAAGAAGCTTGGGATCCCGTTTGCAGCGGCTCTGCAGAAGCGCGTCCTGAGAGCTTTTGGGGCTATCATGTGCAGTTCTCCTTGTGACCAGGTATAATTCGGAACATGTTGGCCTGCTCAGCTTTAACCATAACCATCACAAGAACAGCAAGAATGTCAATTTTGTCGTGTAAGCTTGGATTTCGGACTCAGCCCCCACCCCCGAATAGCAGACACCCCGCCTATAGTACCTATATACAATGGAGGAGAATATGAATCAAAGCTACAGACTTAGAATACCGAATTTGGTGTATGCGAGGGAACAAGCCCAAGGCTGCGAAATGAAGCCGAAGCGGGTAATCCCCTCCACCTCCAACTCCCCAAATTATAGTACATTACAGTAAATTATGAAATATTATGATTTTGTATATTGTAGTATAGCATCGTACATGAAAGCATGTTATAGTATATTATACTCCTTTCTCCACCACCCTAATGAAACTTCCCCTCGCGCCCAATCGGGTACCATCAGCCAACTTAGACCTCCACGACCAACCCTGAGATTTGAAAAGGTCGCTAAAGTTTTTCGGGCAATGCGCAGATGTCATTGAAGTGCCTCTGACTTCGCATGCTTTAGACAATCTTTGACATGTTTAAATATCTCGCTGCTTCAGGAAATAGGCTTAAACATAGATTTCATCAACATCTTTTCGGGTTTGAATCAAAATTCCTTAGTGTTGAAAAATGTTGGTTCAACCATTTTCCCTGGCTCGATCACAGATGTCGAGCACTGTTTACAAACCCTCTTTGAACTGCTGTTGCCGGGGTGGGGTCGCAAGTTCGCTGGCAAACATATTCGGGCAAATTATTGAGATGATCATTCATGATTAGGGAGTTGGGGGCGGTAATTTTGAGGGGTAGGTGATAAACCAAGCCAAAGGGCTTCTGAGTGTCTGCAAGGTTCCCTAAGATTTCCTTAAGCGTTCCCTACTATTGCCCCGCGTTTTTTCTTTTTCAAAGATTCCCAAGCTTTCCTGAGGTTCCCCAGGTTTATGGAAGGCTTCCTCAGGCTCGCTCCAGTTGACCTCCTCGGACCGTAGCTACATGAGTGAAGTCCGTTCAATGGCCCGACGTTATATTACTTTGACCTGCCCCTAGAGCCATGAGTGATGATGATGATGTTGCTTCATATTAGACTGTTTAGTGCCAGTGGTGCAATATTGCCGATTTAGAAGTTGTGGCACCTTGGGGTTTAAAGATATCGGCCCTCTATTAGACAAACATCCTCTCCCCCCTCCGCCCATACTCCTCTTCGCCTCTCATATAAGATTAGCACATGAACGTCTTCATGAATCTCCCCTACCTAGGTGTTCAGGTATATTGAATCAAGCTGGAAACAACACCTGCTTGAGGACCTACAGAATAGGATCCTTCAGGCACGAAGTCCTAAGTGCCCGGGTATGACTTCCCGGATTTCCCCGGAGTTTGGAGTTTCTCATGACATGCCCCGTATAACCCTTAAGCCTCAAGAGGGAGCCCTAGACTTCCTTGAGTACTCCTACACCTGCTAGCGTCTGCTTGAACAGAACCCCCAATTCAAAGTGAAGGTTGGGACACGCAGATGCCAAAGCTAGCGCTCCCTGGCAGCACCTGGCCGGGTTTTGGATTTGTAGGTTTGCGGCACTTTTTGTTAGGGAATATACGTGGAGGGTCATGGGCACCCAGTGAGTATCTATAAAACCCTAGCAGCCCAATGGTAGCCCACCTCCAAGTATCATTTTGGTGCATGCAAGTCATATAAGGGGGCCCTATCGTTGGAAGCTCCCATGTGCGCAGATTCTCATGATGCCGATGCCCATCTTGGGCTCCTTTAGACAAGTGAGGAAATCGCTCACGCTTCAGCGTCAAGGGGTCGGGGCTTGCATTTTCTGTGAGAGCAGTTTTACACGCAGTTCGGGTGGCGGATTACTCAGAGACTGGGTTGGGGCCGGGAGGGTCTAGGCTTCTAATTGCTTAGGGTTTGAATGCAGACTATAAGCGCAGACAAAGAGCTATGTTAGATGGTGTTGAGACGGACAAAGCTAAACAAGAAAGGTGTAGTTTCGGTCATGTTGGGTCTAGAATGCACAACGGAGTTGAGGGCCGATGGGGACTGTGGCCACGAAGGTCCGGTCCGCTCAGATTTCCAGCATGGGTGCACAGCTCTTGCTGAGCTTAGCCCGGGGAAGCCTCTACTGACGTGGCGGCTTAAGAATTATATAGCCATTGCGGCTTTGCAGGCCATGGATTCTTCCCAAAGCCAACCATGTGTTCTTGGGTTATTTGTAACCAACCTGAACAGAGGGAGGATCCCCTGAGGTAGGGGAAAACAGGCACCTCGACAAAGGGTGTATTGAGAACCCCTGAGAGGTTTCCGTGCCGGAATGAAAGATTTTGCTTTGAGCCCAGCCTATGAATATCAAAGCCCCACGGAGTCTTCAAGCCTTTAAAGATCCCGAGCAGAGAGCTCCACCCGACCCCGAGTAGAATACTTAAGCCTTCAGGCAGTTTAGCAGCGGGCTTGAGGGAGAGACTCTGGAAAGGGATCCAGGTGCTGTCTAGGAGTCCAGGGATGGCCCCGCAATATAATCACATGAATCAAGCTGCTTTAGCACTGTGCTAATTTCAAAGGTTTCTACATCAATGTGAGCTACAGTCTAAACTCATTAAAGGGGGTTAGGAAGGGGGATGTTATGGGGGACTACTATAGGGCTTACTAAGGGGATACTAGGAGTTTAGACTGTAACCCTTATAATCCCCCTATATAATCCCAGTTTCCATTTCATTTTCAATTTTCTTTTCCATTTGATTCTCCATTATTGGGGGATAAGGTACCTCATGTAAGGGTTGGCAATTCATCCCGGGCCTTGGGGTTCAGCAGCCTGCTCCAGATGCCCTGCAGGCCACGCCCTAAGCCGCTGCCACGCCATGCAGATCCAGATACTTGGAACGATGTAGTAGAACAAATTCAAAAATTATTGAT